TTTTTTTTTTTTTTTTTTTTTTTTTTTTAATTTGTTTTATTTGCCTTTGATATACCCTATTCTTCTTCTCTATTCGTTAATGTAACTAGATGGTGAAAAAGACTATTGTCCATTTTTACTTAGCTTACATTAAGTTTAACGAAGGAGCACTGCAATGAGATGTTTGTGAATAGTGTTGGCCCTCTTCGTAAGCTTGTATTCCTTGCAGACAAATAGGCGGAGAAACATTTTCATGCTATTTTTCCTAATAACTATTATGTCAGAAGCATCTGATATTATTCTTAGACTATAATCATCTCAATGACTTACAAATATTAAGCTCATGTTACAAACACAAAGTTAGACTGTTGTAATTAATGACATGTGACAACTCAGTGACTATTGACCCGCCCCCCACCCCCCCCAAAAAAAGTGTGAACTTATACTAATATTGCCATCTCTTTGAAGATAAATTGCTGATGGTTTCCTTTGTGCAGGTCGGACGAGGAAGTTGTTGACCCAAAGGAGACAATGGAAGTATCTTGCAAGCCTAAGTGTGTAAGGCAACTAAAGGATTATCAGGTGATTCCCACCATAGTAAAACAGCCTTTCAGTTATATCAAAGGGATTTTCTTGTTCTTATATAATTATTAATTGTTATTGGGTGAGCTGTAACCTAGACTTGATTGTATACGTTTGTGGAAGGCTAATTTTTATTATTGTTAATATTATCATGTACGGTCTCCAGAAGAGCAACACAATAATGTCTTGGGCGATGTCATGTTAGACCTGAAAATTGTAAATTTGGAGAACATCAAATAGTATGGCCGACATATGACCTAACATAGTATGTATCACTTAAACTTTCAGCTACTCTAATTACCAAATCAACTAATATAGTAAGTCAGGAGAATTTTCTTGGTATGTTACTCTAATGGGATGAACCAATATGTGACTAAGGGACTTAATCTGTAACTGTTTGGTTTATCTAAGTAGCCAAAAAGGCATGTTTATGGGCCTCCAAGTACACCTCCCGACCTCCTCTCATATTGTCTCTCCAGATTTCAACTGGTCAGCAGAATGCTAGTATTTGTATGCTCTTTTTTGTTTCCCTGCTCATTTTTCTGTATCATAAGTGTCTATCGGGTCCATTGTTCTTTGTATTGCCAACAATTTGCCGTAATAACTTTTTATGAACAGTGTGCTGTAAGATTTTCAGTATCCAAGACTCTGAGTTCTAATTTCGACCCCGTTAAACCTTTTTCCGAGTTAGTTTTTAGCTTTCAACTTCTTGTTGTTCATATACTCCCTCTGCCTAAATCTTTGTATCCAACTCAATTATTTATTTAAAGGATGGGCTTCGGACATGGGGAATCTGGGTTTCTAACTTTTGGAAGGATTTTGGTCTCTCTTTCGGTTGAAAGTGAAGGGTTTTCTTTTGGTTGTGTGTTATGCTTGGAGGATGATATCTAATTGATTTGTGACAACCACCACCTAAGATAACAATACAGTAGCATTCATTTGATCTTCAGAACAATTTCATTTAATCTGTTCTGTGCAATTCCTGAATAATTATGTCTCGTTCATTTGTTCTGAACAGTTGCCTGAATTTTTGCAAATGTCTTCAAAATTTGTAGTGGTTTTCTCACTTTGTGGCTCTTATTTGGGAATTTGCATCTACAGGCATGTACTAGAAGGATAGAAGGTGATGAATCAGGGAGCAAGCATTGCACTGGACAGTATTTTGATTATTGGCAATGCATTGACAAATGTGTAAGCCCTATTTCTCTATTCTCCCTTGTTGGTCTGTTTAGCATTTCGTTTTGTTTCTAATCTTTTTGTGGAATTGTTACACAGGTTGCCCCAAAGCTATTTGAAAAACTCAAGTAACATGGATATAAGCTGTTGATCCATTGCGATTTTATCTTGCTTTTTCGTTGTTGAAGCCTGTGCTACAGACTTGCAATCCCTTCAATCAACTTAGTTGCCGCATGGAAAATTTTGTACTATGCACATTCTTAAGAAGTGATTAATAAAAGATACTTGTGGGTTAAATTTTGTGGACACTTTTATTTGGTCAAATGATTGAAAATCCCGCGGATGTTATTCCCAGATTTTCTTCTCTCTTGCGCTGTTATATGCTCCCAGTCCCCTAATTTCTTTGTGGGAGGAAATGTCATAAATCAGTGATTTATTTAAGCCCATTTCTTCATAGTTTTGGTTGTTTTGTGGTTTATAGTCCTGAATTAGTTGGCATTAAAATTTGCATGCAACCCTTTAGGTAGAGAATATTACTAAATGAGTTATATAGAGTAGACAAAAGTGAAGGTGCAGTCAACTGCTAGTGTTAAGCTGCATGCTGTTCCTCACTGTATTTGTGGGTTTTCTTCTGGGCTGTCTTCTTATTTGGCTGATGGAGAGGTAATAGGTATCCCGTGAAATGGTTGATGGAGTGTTCACCTAACACTACAACATGTTAATCTATGCGTAATAAAAAACATGCGGCAACTTTATCATATTCATACTCCCTCTGTTTTAATTTGTTTGTCTTACTATTTTTTACAAGTAAATTGAAACGGATGGAGTAATTTTTACGGAATAATTCGCTTTTTGTATTAGTTGTTGACTAGTGATAACAAATCAAAGGTTTCTTATCCTCTTTTAGGTGCTTTATTTTTAATCTGTTGATGTCTTGTTGATTTTTTAGAGCTTCCTGATTTTATATGCTTGTTCACTTGTTTGTCATAGCAGGATGGGAAGTATATATGTTCACTGTATAATGAAATGACTAGAGATTTTTTATTGAAAATTACAGAGAAAGAGTCTGTTTTTAAGAAATGAACATAGTTTTACTGTACAAAATAGAAGTGGAAGTACAGATTTTGAATACAGGGAATCAGGGAATAAGATTCTTTTTGCTTTTTACCGTCCGCCGAAAATAATTACATCTGTTAGTTACAACTTATAAATATACATAAATTATACACTAATAATGTATAATTTAGCGTATATTATACAGTTGCAGATTATTATTTTGGACGGCGGCTATACAGTGTGAAAATCCCCTTTTAGTGTTTAAGAATGGGTCCAAGAGCCCAAGAACATGATAGTTCTAATGGGATCTTCCAAGTTTGAACTCTTTCTTCTTTGATTTTGATTTTCTTTGGAAGTTTGCTTTGATTTTGAGAGCTTATCTATGGTTGTTCTCTTTGATTTGTGAATCAAAGATTTATCATCTTCAGAGAAATGGTGAGGCTTCATTCTATATCTTGGTATGTTGAAATATTTACTCAAGATATTGAAGCTTCTTATAAAATTGAGGACAAAATACAAGCAAATTTATAGAAAAAAACTTCATGAAATGAGAAAAGCATTAGATATGGCATATATGATAGATATGTCCACTTATTAAGCATATATTCCTTTTGTCTGTTGATGTGGATGGTGTATATATCAGCTTTTGCTCGTATCACTAGTCATTGTTAATTCGAACCTCTTTCGTCGGAAAAATTTTATTTTATCTATACTAAAAAATCACTATTTTATCATTATAATGTTCCATTGAAATTTTTTTAGGGGCATTCCCATGGATTGAGCTCAGTGAGAAAAAAAATAGTAGTATTTCCACATAGAAAAAAAAGAAAGTTTTTTAGTATTCCACCATGCATTTTTTCTAACGAGGAAGTACGGTGAAAAAATTATGTCTTATAGCATAAATTTCTTATTGATTTACGATAGGAAGAATCCCATCTCCTCTGATGAGTGTTTGAGCAAAAATAATTTAAGTTCGAAGCAATAAATTTAGATGATTTATTTGTCTAGTTGCTTAACATATTGGATTCCAGATAACAAAGTTGGAGGAAAAGTACTTTTAGTGGAACAAGAATATTATTTCCAATTGATGCTGTTGTGGATTAGATTCCACCAGATCTGACTACCAGATAAGAGCATAATCTCAAAAGACTGTAATCCACTCTAACATCCCCTTCATATTCGGGCTTCGGGCTTGATTGGAATGTGGATCGGAAGTCCAAACGGTGAAGTGTTTGGCTCTGATATCATGTAAAAATATGCTACTTTGAGCTAATTCAACCCTAAAAACTAACTTATGTAGAAAGATTGTTCAAATCCATATAAACAAACTACCAGTCCATTTCTCAACCAATGCGGGACTGTAACCCACTCTAACAGTTTGCCTATTTATCTCAGAAAAAGGGAAAGAGATGAGGTTGAGTCTAAAAACACCAAATAATTATAAGATTTAAGTTATATACACTGGCAGTGTAAAAAATGTTTATCACAGAAATATAGCGCACAATCATTTTATAAATGACTTGAATGTACCATATATACATCAGTACAACTAGTAAAATCACATAGATATAGATCACTGTTTATTGTATTGCAAGACAACAACTTCAGACAGGAAACACAACATACTAATACAGAAATGCTTCTGAAAAAACATGGATATATGTGGTCATTATTTTCATTTTTTTTCATTTTTGCAGCTTCTCCAAGCCCTTCATCCAAGCTGGCCTAGCCAATATATCAGCACACCATGCACTCACACGAGGGCGCGAATCAAACAGTGCCTTAGCTTTTGTATTCATCAAATGGTATATATTTGGTATGTGATGCAAATCAACAAGTGTAAAGGAGTCACCACCTAAGTATTTTGACTCTGTCAATCGAGTTTCGTAGATGTCAAGAACCTTAGACAATTGTTCTTCACTTTCTTTCACAATATCATCATTTGTACTGCCCATGCCAATCATTGGTTTTATGACTAGCTCCCATGTTAATTTTGAAGCAAGTGGTTCAAATTTTTGGCCTTCTACTTCCATCCATATTGACATAATGGCCATTTTCTTTGGATCTTGGAGTATTAGTTGAATGCCATTGCTAGCATAAGTATGAGCAATGTATTGAGTGATTGCCCTTGATTCTGCATTACAAGTGCACAATTTATCATATCAAATTGATAGTTTTTAAAAAACAGGTCACTTATCAGCCTGGTGGAATCAAGAATTTATATAAAAAAATACTTGCATGAATAGCTAGTTGGATTCACTTGTTTACTTTTCCTAGCTGATATATATAAATTATACATGATTATAAACGTATTATACATCTGCTGACTATTAGTTTAAACAGTTAAGTGACGACTATTTAAATTAATTCTTCTTCATATATATAAAGAGGATTCAAAAATATATATTAGGATGTCAAAGTTAAAGATTGAACTTATGAACCCAAAACCCCTTTATCACTAGTAATAAAATCTTCCTTTATGTCAAGGGGAACAAGGATGGATATAACAATTGTTTTTACCCTATTTGCATAATATAATTATTCGACGATGAGGATTTAGTTGAACCCCTTCTGTTTTACTAGCTCCGGCCTAACTTGTATTATAACGTAAAAAAATTGGCACAATACATAAAAGTGTTCTTTAATTTGGACTCAACGGACATCTGTACCCTCCAATTTTGAATGTACACAAATAGACAGTTAAACTTGTATAAAGTTGAACAAGTCGACACACAACACACATGTCCTATATAACAATAATACACGTAGGACTGCAAATTGTCATGTATGACATGTGTGTCTACTTATTCAATTATATACAAATTTAAGTGTCTACTTGTGCACATTCCAAATTGGAGAGCATATATGTCAGATGAGGCCAAATTAAAGGGCATTTTTATGTATTATATTAAAAAATTATATTATAAGCATTAACAATTAGTAAACTAATAAGTATAATGAGTTACTATAACATGATAGATTACACTGATAATATAAAAAATATTTACAATGTCCGTGTATGTATGACTTGAATCTTTTCAAATTTACCACCTTGGTGCTGACATATACTACAAATTATAAGAATAGCTAAAACAATTTACCAAAGAGCTTTAAGTCCCCATCTTCAAATGCTGGTACTTGGGCAAAAGGCTGCACCAATGGTTGAAAATGTCATTTTAATATACCATATGAATTCATGATTTCAAATTGCAATTTGGAAAAAAACTGGACTAATAATAAGCATAAGTCAACCGATTTAAGTATTTTTGACACGAAATATAAACTTATGTGTAAAAATCACTATCAAATAGATTTATAGACTGTTTAGCCAAACTTTTATAAATCATTAATTTTAAAAACCATTGTATTTATTAAAAGTGCTTGTCGAAAAAGTATTTTGGACAATGACAATTTGAATTTGCCATTAATTTGACAAATATTTTTGCCAGTATTAGAGCAACAATTTGTGTTTGACCAAAGTTTCAAAAGTGGTTTTAGAAAGAAAAGAAAGTATTTTTTCCAGATCCAGCTACTACTGAAACACTAAAACAACTCAAATTTCTAAATAAACATTTTAAAAAAAAATACTTCTAGCTTCTCAAAAACTTGATCAAACAAGCTAATAATATAATCAATTATGCTTACATTGAGTGAAAGGAAAGGGTGCTTCTTGTGTTCTTCATTGGCCATATCAACAAAGACAAACTCAAAATCCAAATCCTTCTCAATAAGGCAAGAAACAACTCTCATGGTTGCAGTTGACAAGGGGATACCATGGACTTTGATTGCCATTATTTCAAGAATACTAATAAATTAGGATTATGATGGATTGCTTCAAGTTGATGAAATGAAGAAATATGGAGGGGTATATATAGGGTAAAATTTTCTTTGATTTCATTCTTAAATAAATCAATATATCCAAAAAATCTTGGCTCCTAAGCAAACCCTTTAATGCTTTAAGATTAGAGGCCAAGTAATACCATGATTATAAGATGGAGTAAGAACAATTTAATAATCTAATTAGGTAATTAATGACCTCACAACTATCCTTATATGTTGACTAAACCTATTTGTTAAGTGTATTTTGAAGTTGAACAAACAGGTTGGATAGTACAGACTGACTACTTCAAACTATGGGAGGTGTGTAAACTTCAACACTTACATTATTTTTTTCTAATAAAGAAGTACAGTTGTCAATTCTATGTTGAGTATGGCACGTGGAGGGAGGAGATGTCTGTCTACAATCTTCATTTCAAGATTTAAAAGCAATAATTGATGGAAGGTCTTAGAAGGGTGTGCCTACAATTAGATACAAATAATTAAACATACGTCCACTTGAATCATTAAACTCTAACGCCATTATCATTATCATTAGTATCTACTTGGTGCTTTTCATTTGAAATGAGTAATAATACCTTGAACTGATCCATATCTTTTGAGGTAGTCTTGCCTTTTTTATGGCCATGGACAGCGGCGGACAGGCCAATGAATTAATGATGATAGATAGATAAATTGCAATACTCTCCGTTTCTAACCAAATCTCTATTTTAAATCAAGTTTTCAATCAACAAACATGAATTAAAATCTTAGGGGTCGCTTGGTTTGAATTCAAGTTATGATGGGATAAGTTATGATGAGATAAGTTACACTAAGATTATTTTTTATTGAGTGTTTGGTTTGTTGTATTCAAAATAGTAAATCTTAAGAACAACATATAAGTTTACTAAAATACTCTTCATGGATGTGAAAAGTAATGTATAAAAAATGTTTAAAGGGACATTTTTGTCATTTAGTCATTTTATCCCGGGATTACTATACCACCCATGGGAAGGGATAACTTATCCCGGTACTAATTATTAATCCCAGGATAAGTTATCCCAAACTTCCCAACCAAACACTAAATTAAGTGCCACAAAATAATTATCCCAGGACTATTTGTACCCATCCTTCACACCAAACGATCCCTAACTGATTAAGAGTCGTTCGGTGTGAGGTGTAAGATATTATAATACTAGGATAAAATTTTGTGTTTGATTGGAGGTATTAGGCAATTCTGGAATTATTTATCCTACCATTTATATCTTAGTGATGTGATAAATTATTTCATATACATGGTGAAATAACTTATCACATGATATCTTATCCCAAGATAATTAATCCCAGAATAACTTGTTCCCAACCAAACGAACCCTTAGTATTGTTCAAAACCAAAAACAATTCGAGCAGGGGCTACAAAGTCAATTTTACCACTAGATAACTACTCCCTCTGTCCACTTTTATTTGTCACGTTGCACTTTTCGAAAGTCAATTTGACTAATTTTCAAAGTTAAATTAGTTGCATTCATTCGATATTTTAAACAAAAAATTTAGATATTCAAAAACTATATGAAAAGTACTATTTATTCCAATTTTTTGCATATATGATGAAAAAATACACCGTAAAATGTTAGTCAAAGTTATTATTGTTTGACTCTAAAAAAGAAAATTATGACAATTAAAAGTGGACGGAGGTAGTAAATCTCAAAAGTTGGCTCATGAGGGGAGGACTGTCCAAGTCCATATAAGCAAAACCACTGATTTCCAATCAATGTAAGACTGTAACCAAGTGTAACACCCTCTTTACGTCTAGACCTGAATGGAACGTGGACCAGAAGTCCAAATGGGGAAGGACCTGACTTGGTAACCATGTAAAGATATGGTAGTTTGGTCTAACTCAACCCGAAAAGCTTGCTCATTAGGTTGTGTGTGAGGGACATGAGAGGGGGGTGGAGGGAATTGCCCAAGTACATATAAACAAATTACCCGTCCATTCCTCAACCAATGTGGGACTATAACCAACTCTAACAATTGGTCTGTTTACCGGGAAAGGGGAAGGATATGAGGTTGAGTCTAGAAACACCAATGATTATAAGAATTAAGTTATATCTACTGACAATATAAAAAATGTTATCAAAGAGATTTAGCATATAATCATTTTATAAATGACTTGAATGTACCATATATATATATATATATATATATATAAATATATATCAGTACAACTAGTAAATCACATTATATTGATCACTGTTTTATTGTAATGCAAGACAACAACTTCATACAGGAAACATAACATAGTAAGACAACAACTTCAGACAGAAAACACAACATATTAAGACACAAATGCTTCTGGAAAAACATATATATAATTCCCATCAGTAGTGCATAATTGGAATATGGTGCAAACCTGCCCGGGTGAAACTGTCTCCTCCCAAGTATTTTCATTCCCTCAGTGTCACCAAGAATACATCAAAAATAGTTCCAAGTTTGTCTTCATTCTCTGCTAGAGCTGCATTGTCCGTCACCATTTGGAAGCAACAGGATCGAATTTTGTTTTTTCAAACTCCATCCACAGGCATGATGGCCATTTTATTGACCTTTCTGTGTATGTAGGCAATGTACCGAGTAAGATCCATCATGAGACTACTTAAAGAGCATAGGAAGTCAACTAAAAATCCACCAATCCAATGAGGCTCCAGAACAAATAAAGTGACCTGATTGCATTCATACATTTTGCAGTAGTCTTGAGTGAAATTTGTAGCGAAAAGGGATAAATTAGACTTCTATTGTACTCTATTTGGAAAATATAGGGCAAGTGCAAAGTACAGCAATAAAGAATTCTCTAGAAACCTTGCTATTACCTTGGTATAAAATGTGATCCAAAGACTAAATCTGAGAGAAATATGCGCACAAAATGATGGCCTCGTCTTTCGCGTTCACATGTACCTCCTTCCTGCACCAGAAAAAGTCAGTCTGGGAAAGAATCACTTAGTATTTGTTAAGCAATACAAGAAAGTTTAGTAAAAGGTACAGCTTTTACCAACTTGAAGACACTGGCATATGCACAACAATGGTATAAAGAATAATTTACAAGGACAGAATCAGAACTTTCCTCCGGGCTATGAGGGGATAAAATCAATCTAGCTTTGTCTGCTTCTTTTTAAAAAAAAATTAAGTATAGAGTTACTCCACTTCTACCAAAAAGGTGTTCTAGGCATTTCAATCACAATAGTTTAGGTTGGGTGCCAAGAGCCATCTTACTCAAACGGGTACCGAGAAAAGAGTATTATTCCAAACAAACAAAAACAACAAATATTTAAAAAAGAAAATATTTGAGCTGCTCCTACCAAGGTTGATGTATGCGGATAACATTCCCTATTTCAAGTTCGACGTCTTTACAAATTCTCGAGCTAAAAATGATAGTAAACTTCCTTCTAACAGTACCCTTCCTTTCTCGAGGATTGCTCAGGCACTCAGAACCCTGCAAAGAAACATAAAATTGACAATCGCATTCACCTAACACCACAAATCTATTCTGTTTGGTAAATGAAACCATCAACACCAGTAAGAGTAGGAATAAACAGTTAATAAATGTTAAGACCCCAACTTTCATTCTTAAAAATTCCCATATGACGAAATGACTAGCCAGATGGTATGAAACTTCTTTTTTTCCCTTCTAGACCTATGTGCTTGGGGAATGAGTACTGATTAGTGTTTGTCGAGATCACTTTTTTCCCTCCTTCTGTATTTAAACAAAAGCAGGTAAAACCTAAGTATATATCAATTTATTCAATCTGCATTAGATAATCCTCCAGTACAAACTACGTACATAGATTGTAAGTGACGGTGAATGTCCTTGGTTAGACATTTGGATCATGGGCATATTCTGACCCTAAATTTGCAAGCTTCTTTGTGAATAAAAATAATAATAATTAAGTGTCAAAATGTCAATGATCTAAATATGTACTCCCTCATCCCAAAAGGATTTTCACCTCTTCCTATTGGACTTAATAAAATAATCACTTTCCTTGGAAGAAAAGATGTATCTCTTTTTTTCCCTTCTTTTACTGCGAATGATATTTTATAATACGTCCATATGATTGTGAAATTTTTAATAGACCTACTTTCCCGTCAGTGTTCAAAAGAAAAATAGGTTAACGTGCAAAACGAGACAATTTTTTCCATGCGTCACCGTATTGATAATGCCAAATATAAATATGAATATTTGGACCAAGAGAGTTATGATCTTTAAAAATTACTGGTTTACATGCTGAAGTGATTAAGGCTGGCGTCATGACCAAAGTGAAAATATCCAGCTAGAGCACTAAGAAAATGCTGGAAAGCAAATTTACAGTTTCCATACACAAAAACTTGCTCTTCTTACTAGATTACCAAAGTCGAAAACTACTTATACTCAACAACAACATACCCAGTGTAATCCCACAAGTGGGGTCGAGGGAGGGCAAGCAGAACTTACCCCTACCTTTGTGGGGTAGAGAGGTTGTTTCCGATAGACACAAAACTACTTACACTACAACAACAACAACATACCCAGTGTAATTCCACAAGTGGAGCACAGGGAAGGTAGAGTATACGTAGACCTTGACTCTACTTCGTATAGATACAGAGGTTGTTTCAGATAGACCCTCGGCTTAAAATAAAGCATTTCCAAGCTGCTTGAAAAAGAGAATACAGAAACGAGAGCAGTAACAACAATGATACACAACTATTTACACTGATTCCAAAAAATCTAACAGAGATTCAGCATCCTCTACAAGGTTCTCTTTACACCAGGAAAAAAAACATTACACAATTCATTTTAAGTCTCTGTGTAAACTTACCATCATGTGTCAACCCTAATGATTGCATAACCAAACCCATATAACCATTCATACTGAATTTATGATCCTCATTCCATCTGCCAAACTAAGACTGATAAGACTATATTGTACACATTTCAGTATCAGAAAACCCAAATTCACTTCCCAATTAAGATTCTGCTGATTCTGCAGCCAGGATGACTGATAGATACAGCCAGAGGGTCTAACACCCAAATCAACTGCCCAGGGATGAACATTTTGATTCCAGCAGAGGTAAAGAAGAAACGAAGAAGTGGTTTAAGCACAAAGGATGAAAAATATTGATAAAGAACAAAAGAAGAAAGAAATCATAGAACAAATAAAATGTCTCCATGGTCCCTCAGTTATCTGAAGCTCCTAAGGGTCAAGTCGTAAATACTACAAGGAATACATTTCTGAAAAAGTTTACACAGATCACAGTAAACACCATATTATTAAACGACTGCAATTATCGGGAAAAAATGAAATATGCAATTATTGAACACTGTGATGAATATAATTTCGGGAGTTTCTTACAGATTACACACTTCAAAAAAACCAACTACCACATTGTTTGTCTAATCTGCAGGGCTTGTTGCTTCGGAGGGAAATGGTGTATAGAAAGTTGAGAAACTATGACACTTCACCCAAAAGCTACCACCTGTAATGGAAAGTAAAAGTTCTCCACCTGCAGTATCCACGGTCCTAGGCCACCCTACCCGACTTTCTGTGCCATGCAACATGCTGAATTTCTAAAAGTTGCCCATTTATATGAGAATGGTAAATGTCCCAGGCACCACGTAAAAATTGGACTATCATCAAAACAAGTACTGGGAATTTCTACTTAAGAAACTAGTGAGAGCAAGAAAAGCACGCTCATGACCTTCAAAAAGTTGAAAGCAACATTGTATCCTCAATAAAGTAGACATACTCATACTTTTAACCTTCTGTTTAGCAAATGTACAATAGTTAGTTCAAGTACCTCTTCATCTCCATGTAAAGCACAAAAACAAACAGTCAGCTTGGCCTCCAAAGAACTTGACAAAATTCTCACATCAATGAAGCTTTCTTCACCTGAATTAACAGCAGAGGAGAAGGTCAGAAACAAGCAAGAGACAGGAGATACACAGTTTGGCCTTTTACCACTTGAAGCAGCATGTGTTTGTGACTTCTCCAAGAAATATGTATCTCTGTCCTTTTCACATTGCATCACGTGCTGCAACCTTCCAGATAACCTGCATGACTTATCAATACAAGTAAGAAAAGATAAAATTTGAAGAATATTTTTCTGTTTCTGTTCCTAGAAAACATGCAGAATATGCTCATAACTGATACGTTCTAGTTCCATAACTCACCCGAATTGCTTAGACCTTGCAGTAGATAGCCTCTCATTTGTGGATACAGCTCCTAACGCTAGATGAAATTGGTCAGCCATGGTCCTCTGAGGTATAGCAGACTTCAGAATCTGGGGAACTTCCTGAAACAAAAAGAAAGGAATTCAGAGAACTACATATGGCAATTGATCGTGATGATTACGCAGTAAAAGATTAACCACATATTACATCCTCATCACTAGATGGATCACTATCTAGTTCCTCAGGTTGGTCGCCATTGCTCATGTTTCTGTCACCAAGCAGCAATAAGTTTCTCTTCCGTAAGAACCGTGATCCTTGTCTTTTTGTTTGCAGCTGCTGGATAAGCATGATTCTTACATACAAAAACATAATTGAAATAGTAAAAATGGTAATACGGAAGCGCTACTGAGATCTTTAAGAAAAGAGATCTGGAGAAGAAGAAAGCAAACCGTTTTAGGATTGCCTCGTGAGGACCTTGTATGCTGAAAGTGATCCAGAACCTCAGCCATGGAATGCTCATTTGGATCATGTACAACTGCTACTTCAGATGAGACCAAATTCTCCTCGAACGGTTGTACTTCATTTCCACCATTATTCTCCAATAAGTCATCCAGTGACTCTATATTTTTTCTTTGCATGTCTAATTCTACATTTAGGGGAAGCACAGATAAGGGCGTGCAGGTTTCACAATTATCATGGACAACCAAAGCATAATCTTTCTTCTGTGGCCGGGATTGGAACAAAAATTTGGGCTTAGATTTGCCCGAGCTTCCTGCAGTTGATATCAAAAGTCATTTCAAGTTTACAGCTTGAAAACTCAATCACAGATCTCAAGTAAAGAAAAAGAGCCATCAGAGATGTCAGACTTGAGGATTCAATATTGAGATGCATCCATTTCTTTTCTATTTTACTTGGAGTCCACTTGTTCCTGAGAAACACTACTATTACACATGTTATGCTGGTTAGTTTTTTTTTTTTTTTTTTGTGGGGGGTGGGGGATTACATTGTTATGTGTTATGCTAGTCAGTAACAGCTTAGTCCAAGACAATTTAACCAACTATGATGAACAATGCTTGATTAAGATCATTCTTCTCATTGGTGGAGTTGACGACATCTTTAGCATCAAGACAAAGAATGCAAAATATGGAAATGAAGTCAACAGAAATACTAATACCTTTAGATGATCTGTTCAATTTTGATGAGGCCCCGTATAGCGATGAACACCCAGCATCTTTATTGAAGAAAGCTCCTGATTTGCAATCTGCACTTACCTTAGGCATTGTACTTTTACCATCTCTTTTAAAATTTCCATCAGTAGAAGGCCTCATCTGCCAGATTTTTAACCTCCAAAGATCCACTTAGTATTGGTTGGACAAAATATTAAGTATTCTAGTGACATCGATTTTGCAGACATAGAGACCAGCAGTCATACCTCATCATCAGACAAAATTTCCTCTTCTGAATTACAAGTGGATGCCATTCTAGTGACGTGACAAAATTCATCATCTAAGGAGCAGGACAACGCCATCCAATGATCATTTTTGTTGATGAAGCTACCATCCTGACTCTTAAACAAAGGAACTTCAACGTCATCTTCTTCGCATAAACCTGTCTGCCTCTGCTGACAAGAATGCAACCGCAACTGTAAGAGGAAGTCATCATCTGAACCTTTTACTGCTTATCACTTTTGTCTATCTCCACTTAGTAATAGATCCCTTTTGTAGATGGGATACACATAATGATAATACAGGCCTCCCACATCAATTAATAAGCCAGGGGCGATTTTAAGTATATATTTTGGGTCATCCGAACCCGTGGTCATTCGACTAAATTCGATATATTACTTCTATAATTATTAAAGAATATATTAAATTAAAACTTGTTGAACCCGTTCTCAAAATGGCTGGATGGTTCACTGGTACAACTGCAAGATACCAACACAAAGGTCGCAGGTTCGATCCCAGGCAACCCCAATTCGCTTCAATTTATTTTTATTAACTAAAAACACATTTTTCATTTTAAAAAAAAGAAGAAGCTAAATTCTTCTAAAAGTCAAAGACTTCAAAAGTTTCTTCCCACTCACTTCCCAAGTTCCAAGTAATTTTTATGGATTGCTCGCTTAGTTATTGTTATTATAAACTTTTTGATCTTATCTTTAAAGTAATGGTGCACCCATTTTCTTAAAATTCTGGATTCGCCTCTGTAATAAGCTATGTGTTGCGTATGAGAACAAAGTTCCACGTTGGTAAGTTTTTTTTTCTTTTTTCTGATACGGTAGTTGCACATAGGTAGCTGAAAGGAAAAAGAAGCTACATAAAAGGTATAGGGATGGATACTCTTAATGTTTGAGCCCTTTTTGGGAAAACCGTGCGACTTTGGCCCAAAGCAGACGATATCACACCATGCTAAGAGTATCTTCAGGTTATTTTAGCCCAACACTTTGTTCCTTAAACGATTCCAGAGAAACGGGAGAAGTGGAGAGCAACTTTTTCTTGAACTCTCCATCAAAAAGTCAATTTCCATGTTGAATTCTTAACACCATGACCCATTAAAGTCAACTAGGAACTTTAACCCAAGAAAAAAGAAAAAGAAAGAGGAAAAGACAAGGACCAAAGGAACAATAGAAAGAAGAAATGAAGGTAGGTCATATGACAAAAAAAAAGGAGGTGAATTCAAACCAGTACCAGCTGATCAGAGTTCACTGTATCGGTTGAATGATGAAGTCTTTTGACATCTGCAGAAGATTAACATGGATAACTTCCCAAATGTCCTTATCTTTTTGAATATTTTGCAGGGGGGTGTTGATGAATGAAAATTCAAGTAGAGAAGTTTCATTGGGAATACCTGTGAGCAGTTCAAGCTGGGAAAGGACTCCTAAACCTCCCTCCAGGGGCGATTTTAAGTATATATTTTGGGTCATCCGAACCCGTGGTCATTCGACTAAATTCGATATATTACTTCTATAATTATTAAAGAATATATTAAATTAAAACTTGTTGAACCCGTTCTCAAAATGGCTGGATGGTTCACTGGTACAACTGCAAGATACCAACACAAAGGTCGCAGGTTCGATCCCAGGCAACCCCAATTCGCTTCAATTTATTTTTATTAACTAAAAACACATTTTTCATTTTAAAAAAAAGAAGAAGCTAAATTCTTCTAAAAGTCAAAGACTTCAAAAGTTTCTTCCCACTCACTTCCCAAGTTCCAAGTAATTTTTATGGATTGCTCGCTTAGTTATTGTTATTATAAACTTTTTGATCTTATCTTTAAAGTAATGGTGCACCCATTTTCTTAAAATTCTGGATTCGCCTCTGTAATAAGCTATGTGTTGCGTATGAGAACAAAGTTCCACGTTGGTAAGTTTTTTTTTCTTTTTTCTGATACGGTAGTTGCACATAGGTAGCTGAAAGGAAAAAGAAGCTACATAAAAGGTATAGGGATGGATACTCTTAATGTTTGAGCCCTTTTTGGGAAAACCGTGCGACTTTGGCCCAAAGCAGACGATATCACACCATGCTAAGAGTATCTTCAGGTTATTTTAGCCCAACACTTTGTTCCTTAAACGATTCCAGAGAAACGGGAGAAGTGGAGAGCAACTTTTTCTTGAACTCTCCATCAAAAAGTCAATTTCCATGTTGAATTCTTAACACCATGACCCATTAAAGTCAACTAGGAACTTTAACCCAAGAAAAAAGAAAAAGAAAGAGGAAAAGACAAGGACCAAAGGAACAATAGAAAGAAGAAATGAAGGTAGGTCATATGACAAAAAAAAAGGAGGTGAATTCAAACCAGTACCAGCTGATCAGAGTTCACTGTATCGGTTGAATGATGAAGTCTTTTGACATCTGCAGAAGATTAACATGGATAACTTCCCAAATGTCCTTATCTTTTTGAATATTTTGCAGGGGGGTGTTGATGAATGAAAATTCAAGTAGAGAAGTTTCATTGGGAATACCTGTGAGCAGTTCAAGCTGGGAAAGGACTCCTAAACCTCCCTGACAAACAAGCAACATCAAACTCTTGGGCATTATAAAGTATTCATCAGCAAATTCATATACAAAATTAGGGGGGAGTTCACTGATAACTAGAAAATCTGTGCAGTGAACCTGCCTGCATTGTGAATAAACACTAAACACTTTATCTCACAACTATAATTTAATTGCTAACAATCAAAGTCAAAACATAACCTTAACCCTCCAAAGCATTTTGAAATTTGTTTTTCTACCAATAGTAAGCAAGACAATTATGTCATAACATTTTAACAATCAATCAGCCAATTAGATTAGTTGGGATTTGGCTATACGACTCCTCTATATCCATTCTGGTTTCTTCGGGCACATTTTCACTATAACAGTAAACAAATTTTGTCTTAGATTAAAGATATAGTACGGGTTACCAAGAACATTATAGAAGGCAGCTGGTGTTTTAACTCGAGGAATTTGAAAATGTAAGCAAGAAAATCAACTAGGCATTACCTTGTTTTCTAAGGATCCACTAAGACAATTGTCATTTGTCATCCATTTGTCATCGTCCATATCTTCCTCTTCTAACAATTTCAAACAAGGCAAAGCAGATTCAATTAAAACAAACAAACAAACAAACCTAGGTTATTACTGGGAAGATTTCTTTCAAGGAGAAGAAAGGTACCGGAAAAACTCTGGTCCGAATCTTGCTTTTCCTACATTATAATTGAGGAAATCAAGTTCAATTCTACGGAAAACATCGAAATTCATTCAAAATTAACACAAATAATCGTCTGAACAATTGCAGGTAACCTAAAACTACAATACTCGATGAGATAATCCCCGATCTTTGAGCTAAATGATGAAAATTGTTCGGAAAATCTGGAATACCTGAAGATATACTCTAGTGGCAGCTGAACCTTTCTCTTCCATAGCTGGTAACAAGCAGAGACGCAATTTTGCGGAGCTAATTGGGGCAAGAGTGGCGGGAAGTTAAGAGTGAGGAGTGGAGTTGAACTGTATATATACTGATACTACTACTGTAATTTACTTTTTTTTTTTTGTTAAATAAAGCCAAGTAGTGAAGAGATTTTGTTGAATATAATATAATCAAATTGGACACTTTAATTATCCAATATAACATAAACACTTCCTATGAAAAATATAATATTTTCTTCTTAAATTAGTTTTTCAAGCAGCACCAGCAAACGATAGTTAGAGTCAACTTAGTAACGAATTTCTCAAATCTGAACATATTTAAACCTTTTAATTTTCGAGCATTTAAATATAAGAGTTAAGAACTAAAATTTTCAAGTATGTAACAATGCTATAATCTCGATTTACATATCAACTGAGGTTAGAATTAGATGATTACACAAAAATTTAATTTCTGAACTCAATAAAGAATTCAATTTTTTTACATAAAATGTAGATATTCAAAATTTTCTAAAACCTATACTCCTCCCTCACTTTGTGTTATATATATGTAGAAATTGCTTTTGCATTCCCATGGTGGTATGCAAAAGTTTTGTTTTAAATGTGAGCTTACTTGAAGTAGATTTGAAATACTTTTTATTAACATTGAAATCAAACATTCAAGTAATGTCTTATTGAATAACACATTACAAATTATACTTATTCGAGAGAATTTGTGAATAGTTAACAAGATAAATTAGGGGTGTCAAAAATGAACCGAAACATAGGTAATTCAACCCGTTTTTTAGCCCATTTGAGCCCAAAGTAAACTTGGGCGGGTCAAAATCCAACCCGATTTCTATCTGAACCTATTTTAATATCTCCAATTTCAACCCAACCTGCCCATTTGACACCCCTAAGATAAATAATATATAGATAACACAAATCGTACCAATTCAAATTCTGTGAACAAAATGAACAAGCACCAAGTCTTACCAATATGATAGATTTCAAGTTAATCACAACATATAATGTAAATAATTACAAGTCTTCATAATCTGGTTGAATTTAAAGCCAACTCAGTAATATGCATCGTAAAGCGTTACAAGTAAATTTTGATAATCTAACATGACTTCAAGATAGGCACTTTAGAAACATATGTTACAAACATTTACAAGACTTGAAAATTCGACATATCTTACAATTGAATAATAATCTTGTCAATTCGGAAAACTTCAAGGTAATACAACAACAAATCGATCAAATGAGCAACAAAGACAAAAAAGAAAAAAACTCAAGAAAATCTTATCAATTCGGTAAAACCTCTCGGTAATTCAATAACACATCAACCAAATGAACAAAATTAAAGACCATAACTTTAAGAGATTAAAATTAAAGATCACCCCGAAATAAGGACAATTTGTGCAAAACTTGTAATCAAGACAAGGTGTAGTGGGTACTGGGCCCCAAGCGAAGCCCTGGGCCTAAAAGTTGCTTTACTGGCCCATGAAAAAAGCTTACACAGCACGCCTGGCTCCCATAGATGCTATAATAGCCCAAATATATAAACCCGCTCAAATTTGAAATCTCCCCAAATCTGCTAAATCCCCATTTTCAGCAAAACACTGACACCATTACAGAGGTGAAGCACCGAGCACGAACTCTCTTCAGATTCTCTCTACAAGAAGCTCCATTTCCAGCCGATGGAGAGGAAAACTCCAAATAGAACAAGGAGGAAGCAGAGAAGCAACCAAAAAAGCAAGAAGAGGATGAACAAGGGTTCACTTTCCAGTCATTTCACTGTTGGGATTGCCAAACCTCCGCTTCCTAATCAACAACAGCTTCATTCCTCATTTTCTAATGTTACTTTACCAAATCCTTCTCGATTCCAGAAACTTCTGGATTCTGATGACCTTCCGCCAGCTCAATCTCAGTTCTCTTCAGTTTTGTCGTTGAATCTCGATGCTGATGCTGATGTTGCCGATGTTGCTGAAAAGGATTTCATTCTCAGTCAAGATTTCTTCTGGTAAATTTTTTTTCCCTTTTTTTTTTCGATTAGAAAGATATGTGTTTGAATGGAATAAGATGTAGAGTAGCCACTGAGATTTGAACTGGTTCCGATTGTGCCCTTTTTGGTCCCTTGATGGTCCAATTGGGACGGGGAACTGATTAAGGTGTAATTTATTGATTGCTTACTGCCCCCAAATTTTTACATTAGTTAGGTTTTGATTTTTAAACTCTTACATCTAATTCCTGATCATATCTTTGTATTGGGGGATCTTAGTAGCTTAGTTGGTTGGCTAACTTAACTCGCACCTTGTTGGTAAGGGTTTGATTCCCCAACTTGTAATCCCCCGATTTTTTAAATATAAAAGATCATATCTTCACATTGTATCCTCTAGTTTTGTTTTCTACTTATAATTAATTTTTTGGAATGCAGTACTCCAGATTACCTAACGCCAGATGCACCTGCAATTTGTAATGGGCTTGATGGTGATAAGGTAATTTCTTTACCAGAGTGTGTTAAAAATTGTGACTTTTTTTCTCTGTGACAGGCTGTTGTTTCAGTATGTCATACTGTGCGTTTCCCTCTTCTTTTTTTTAGGATGATTATACTCCTTGTCCCAAGTCACCCGAGAAGCTTCAAAGTGTAACAAGAAAGAGGCCTCGACTAGGTATGAAATACTCTCATACTTTGCTGTCCATTTCACTTCATTTTTCATTTGTGGAATCATTACTGGCTCGGTCAAGTTTTAACTTTTATCATGCAAAATCTCTTCTTTCTTTTCTTATTTTTGTTCTACTATTGAGGCATGACAAAGGCGTTGAGTAAGGTAAAGTGTCAAAGTAATAGCACATTCGGATATTGAAGAAAATTAGAACAGAAACATCTTTGAAATTTAAGAATTTATAATGTGTATGAATATCCCTTGCATTATCAAGCTTCTATTTTTAGCTGTTCTTCTTGTTACTGTCAGACACCTTTTGAATCTGGAAATCTCTCTCTCTCTTTCCACTTTAGCATGTTTTGAAGTTTGTT